ATATATATATATATATATATATATATATATATATATATATATATATATATATATATATATATATATATATATATATATATACACACACGTTGGAACAGTAGTCTTTTTCCCCGTGTTTTGTGTTAATTTTTTTTAATAAATAAAATATTAACATATGACCTCCTTTTCTTTCTATAACATACAAGAGATTAACCAATTTGTTTCGGTACACTTATTAAATAAATCAAACATTGACTCATCCAGTTGATTTACATAATAAAAGGTACACAAAAATGTAATGATTGGCACAAAAAATTGAGCCCTGCTAAATAAGTTAAATTTAACTTATTTTTTTGGGCAGTTCCGAGCATCAATAATAGAATTATCAATTATGTTACTTACTTTTCATACTCGTTTTAGATGGACCACATCCCTTGTTCCAATTCCATTAGCTAATTTAACTGTAACTAGTTCATCATGTGAAGCATAAACAAATGATTCTTATAATTATTATAATTCAGACATAGTTTTAAGAATTTTGATAAAAAAAATGTAGTAAATATGTGTGCATACTTATTTAGCAATGGAATATACTTCTGGTTTAATAAGAGGCAATACACTACCGTAATCTGTGTAAATAAATACATGCTAACTACATTTTGGAAATAAACTTATTCATAATAGTTAATATATGTAATATGATTCACACATGGTATATACAAGAGAAAAAAACAAATTTAGTTAAAAAAAAACCTCAATTATTGGCCAAGAAATACTCATAAATTAAGAAAACTAGGTGTAAGCCCCGTGTATTACACGAGTTTGTTTAAAAAAATAATATAAAATTTTGAACATCAACAAATTATTAAAGTAATACAATACATATAAGTAAAGACAAAAAAATCATTAATGAAATATTCTAAATAATTTTTAAAAATCATAAATTTCCAAATACTTCTTTGAATACAACATTAAATATCTTATTGGTAAGTTTTCCTTCACTATCTAAATCTCCCGCTTCAACATAATTTTTTTCATATACAAACAAAAATATTTCATTGACCGATTTGAAGGAAATCAAGTAAAAGTTTTGAAGCACATCAAGTAAAAATTTTGAAATATGAATGATTAATGAAATCAAGCTTAAATTTGTAAAGAAACAATATAACCGATGCTTGATTGTTGGAGGATCATAACTAAATTGAAGATTGATTGAAGACTTTCCCGATATATGTTTAAAAAAATTGGTTGAATTGCTTGATTTATTTAATTTACTTAATTTAGATCATATATATTTTTATTAGGTGGCATTGTCTTATACTGACAAGTGGAAATGATTTAAATGTAAATTATCAGAAATTGATATTTGTCAAAATGAAGGAGAGCATGTCATGTGGCAAAAAGTTCTTTATTTATTAAGGAGGATGCCCCAAATAACCATCAAAATCGCAGTTGGACCTTCAAGAGCTGCGATTTCGTATTTGTCTGATTTTCACTTTTTGCCAACTTTATACCCTTATATTCCGATTGATCTGATTATTTTTCATTACGTTCTTTAAAGCAAGAGTTCTCCATTGAAATATTACAATCGATATTTCAACATCAGAAAATCCCTCTCTCAAAGCTCCAAAGTAGGCTTTTCAGGCTGTTGGGACAATTTGTTCATACTTAGAAATTTTTCTTATTTTTCTCAGTTCATGAAAACATTTTTCCTAAATTCAAACGTAAATAATTTTTTATATGAACTCGGATTTAGTCGATTTTTTATCTATATATTCCTTATCATGTCGACTACATAATACATTTAGAAAGCTACTGCATAGAGACTCTAGATTTCGAGCTATAAAACTCAAAAATAGACTACTTAGTGATTTTTGAGCTTTTTTCAAAAATCAACATTTTTCACATAAGCTTCAAGGAAACCTTTATTTTCACATAAGCTTCAAGGAAACCTTTATGTTCATTCCAAAAAATTCCTATACTACTAATAACAACATATGAAACTTTATCCATGCATTTCTTTCCGAATTTAAGCTCTTAAAATTATTCCAAATGTAAAACTTGAAAAATAAAAATGAGATTAAGAGCTTAAATTCAAAAAGGAATGGAATTCATATCTTGTTATTAATAGTATATGAGTGGTTTGGAACGAACGTAAAGTTAATTTCCCGAAGCTTATGTGAAAAGTTGTGATTTTTGGAAAAGTTCAAAAATCATTAAGTAGCATACTTTAAAGATTTATAACTCGAGATCTAGAGGCTATGTGCAGTAACTTTCTATATAAAATTTGCAATCGACTTGATAAAGAATACATAGATAAAAAAATCGACTAAATCCGAGTTCATATGAAAATGTTATTAACGTTTGAAGTTACGGAAAATGTTTCCATGAACAGTAAACAATAAAAATTTTCCAAGGGAAAAATGTCTCAATAGCCTTGGTGGCCGACTTTGGAGCTTTAAAAGGGGGGTTCCTCGATGTCCAAATATCAATTGTATACTAATGGAAAGCCGTTGTTGAAAAAAACATAATAAGAAAAATAATTGGGTCAACTGAAGTTCATATGAAAAAAATATGAAGATTAAAAGTTGGTAAAAATTAAAAACCGAACAAATGCGAAATCACAGCCCATTTGGCTGAAATGGTAGCTAATGAAAGCCCAACTACGATTTTGATAGTTATTTGAGTTAGTTCCTTAACATCTGATTATTCTTGTCAAGTGATTAATGATTTTGATTAATTTTATTTTTCTGTAAGACAGAGTTTTTATATTAATTAATGTGAAGTTACTTCCATAGTGTTCATATTGATATTCATATGCAACTATGAATAAAATGAAAAATAATCATAATGATTCGTTTAACCAATCTTTTGCAATATTAAAATTCATAACTAAATCTTTCATCTTAGCGATTCATAAAAATATCTAGGCAAAATGGTCCCTACGGTTTGTTGTTTTCTTTTAGTTTCGTTCAACAAGTTTTAAAATTACGAGTATTGTCCTTTCGGCCTAGTTTAGTTGTGGATTTGGTCTCGTTAAACTTGAAGTACTCAGTTTACCCTTTTATATTTCATTTCATTTTTATTATTAATAAAATGAACCTTCTCTGTCGTCGCCTCCTCGAAACACTGGACTATGGCGGCCTGATAGTTTGTACCGGCGATGGTGGTGAGTGTGTCAAAGCCTATGTGCACTATTTCAACCCAATATTAAAATTAGAACAAGAAGTTTCATTCTTATTCTGAATTTAAGCTCTTAATTTTTAAATTTGAATGATTATACTCTAAAATTAGTTCTAAGAAATAAATAGGTTCTTGATCAAGCAATTGTAGTAAAAGTAAGGAGGAAAGGAAGAAAAAGTGGAAATGGTTAAAGTGGTGAAAGTCTATACGAACTTCTTCCCCAACTTTTATAAGATGCTCGAGTGAAGGGTTGTTTAATAACTATTAACAATTAAGTTAACATTTTCAAATAATTAAAGTATATTTAAATAAAACTGAGTAATTTGTAAACCTGATGACACGATTGAATATAAACATGTTACTGAAAACTCGTACATAACAATTAAAATAAAATATATATTGAAGGGTATACCTTTCAACAAACAAACTTCTAACTCGGATGAAGAAAATTTAGATTAATCATGAGGTTTTTCTAAAGATCTAAGGTTTTGTAACATCAAATTTTGAAATTGATGATTAATTTCTCATATTTCTCATCAAAAAAAATTCCTCTTACACTCTCTCTTTTAGCTTTTATTTAAAAAAAAAAAAACTCAAATTAAAGAAAAAACTTGGTTTGGCAGTAAACATTTTTAGCTTTTATTTTAAATAAAAAAAATTCATAATCCAAAAACTACTTAATAAGCTTTTAGAAACTTTTTACTTTTAGTTTTTATGTAATTTTTTTAAAACCTTCCAACTAGTTTGCTTAACATTTCGGTACAAAGACAAGGTTAACACAACTAAAACTAAATATACATAGGATTCCAAACAGAGGGAATCACAAGATAAAAAAACTTATATAATCCTTTCGATGCCAAGATATCTTATCACAAGTGTTCTAGATTAAGATCAACTTGCTTTACTAAGATATAATTAATTAGATAAGTAAACGCATTCACTGCTCTAAGAACCATTGATTTAATTTTGTAACAGTAATCACAATATCTTAAAAGACACCTACACAACTTTCACTGTTCAGGTTTGAAGGGGAACTACTAAATTCATTGCACCTTCTTTGTTAGATTGTTAATTAATAACCTTTTTTCTAAATCAGCTAGCTACAGTGTAATAAATAAGCATAATGATATGTCCACATCTTGAAAGTTTTGGATTAAATTAATGGTTTAGTGTTACACATCAATGTCTAAATCGGCATATTTGCACTTAAACTAAGATACATACATTAAACAAAACATATAACTCCAAGGACCACACACGTGTCACCTTTAACATATTCTAATACCCCATTACCCAAAATAGCATACTAGAAGCTAGTAAAAGCATAAAATTATGATAACTAGAGACTAAAAGTATATACACCATGAAATGAATGATCATGCATATCACCATATGTTTCATGAGGATTGGGTACAAGCCGTTTTCATGGATACACCGACGATTTGTATAACTTAGTGCTTTCTTTACAGATTTCGTGTTGTTATTGACATCATGAGTTAAGCCTAGTTACATAATTGCTATATGAGGAAGAATTAAAGGGTATATTTACTTTAAATAGGCAAGAATCAAGTTTTGGACAGGTGGGTGGACGTGATTGGTTACTTTGTCAGATATAGTTTTTAGAATATAAGATCCCATGGAAAGATTTGGAACAAAAAGTTGTTGTGACTTGTGATGCTTAAAAAGTGAGATCACCAAATCCTAGAAAGACATTGCGATGAATTGATTGTTGGAGGATGTATATATAGGGGTTGCTCTAGTTTTACTTGTGGTTGTGTCACACAAGTTGGAGACAAAAAAAAAAATAAGTGAATATTGAAAAAAATAATAATAACGAAATGGTTGCAATGATGGAGTGGAGAATGCATGAAAAAGAATGGAGGAAAGGGCCTTGGACACCTGCGGAAGATGACTTTCTTATTGAGTATGTTAGAATGCATGGAGAAGGAAGATGGAGTTCTGTAGCTGATTGCTCAGGTATAACACTATTACACACTTAGTTTCATTGCAACTCTTATGTAAGTCACCTAGCAATACAAAATTTACATGTGACATGATGCTTTGAAGGTGAATGGTGGGTCAGCTCATAGGTTGTTATAAGAATAATGTTTTTATCAAAACAAAATTTACTACCCCGACTTTCAAGAAAATGACCATATACACTTTGCTAGTTAAAAGGAACTTGGTTTTTTTTTTTTTTTTTTTTTTTTGGCCCGAAATCTTGATTTGGCTTCTTTTTCAGGTTTGAAAAGGAGTGGGAAGAGTTGTAGGTTAAGATGGGTGAATTACCTAAGGCCTGGTCTTAAGAAAGGTCAATTAACACCCCAAGAAGAAGGCATCATTATTGAACTTCATGCGTTATGGGGAAACAAGTAATGCAATTTACTCCATTAGTTACATACATGTTTTTATTTTATTAATTAAATTGGTTCATGATCTTTAAAGTTGTTTTGATATTATAGGTGGTCTACCATAGCTAGATACTTGCCAGGAAGAACAGATAACGAGATAAAGAACTACTGGAGAACTAATTTCAAGAAGAAAGGAACCCCATCACAAAATCAAGAAAAGCAAAAACATAAAGTTTCATTTAGGCGTGATCAACATCATCATCAACAACAACAAATTATGAATAATAATTATGTGTTACCTCAGGTAGAAGAGAGTAACCAAAGGATGATCTTTGAATCACCAGAAACCAAGATGGAAGATACTACTGTTAGTGAGCAACATTATAACCGGTCTGTGATGGGTCAAGATGTTGCATCTTGGTGGGACACTGTCTCTGAGGATGGTTTATGGAGTGTGTTTTTGTGGAATCTGGATAACGACCAATATCCAAATGAATCTGTGATTGAACAATCATTTAGCTCTAATTTTTGAATTTGGACATAGAGAAGAAACTTAGAATTATATCCCCTAAGCATCACATATAGTTAGCGATGTAAATGTAATGTCTTTTCTAGTATATATCATCGTAAGGCAAGGCATTACCAGAATAAATGGTGCTTAACCACCATTTTAGTCAGTTCTGTACTTTTACTTCTTGTAGGACTTTCATCAAAACAGTGCGTGGGCAATGCAGCTAGCTGAAAGCTTTGATCCATAACTTTTCACCTTATAATATTATATTCATTCCTTCTGGTTGTTTATTGAAGCAAAGGGATGTGGAAATTAACAAGAACAATGGAAGAATCTGGGAACGTAGGTGGTGATTCTTCTGTTATGGACACACTTTTCAATCCTTTTCTTCTAACTACACATTAGAAGAAAAGTCTTAGATGATATGATTAAAGGGGAAAAACATGTTCAAGCATTTGTAATAATATGTTCGGCCTAACGTAATGAATAGTACTAGTAATAAAATTTGAATATAGCAGTTGTGTACTTTATTTTCGTATCCTATATTTCATTTTTCTTTTATTAAAATATTATATATTAATAAAAGATATGAAATCTCTATTCTAATAAATGAATAGATTTATTCTTCTATTGAAAAATGTCATAATCTTAGAACTCCTCATTAATATTATATGTCACCTATCATGCCACTTGTCAACTTATTAATTATCAATTTCAAATTACAAATTTTAAATTTCTTATTCTAATTACATTATATTAATAATTGATTCTTCATTTTTAATTTTAAATTTTAAATTTTTTCACTTTAATTATATTATATTAATAACATTAGATTAAAAAATAAAATAAAATTAATACAGATTATAAGGTGATATAACTTCACGTATTTATTTAAATCAACGATTATAATTATATATATAACTAAAAAATATCTCTTAAGTAATAATTTATTTTAAATAATTCATTAATAATTTTAAAGTTTTAATATGAAAGTTTAATTAATTTTATAGCCATGGTTCTCACGGGTTATAAACTAGTTATAATAATAGATATCTAGTGGCTGGAAAGGGAGCTCCGCAACGTGGCCTCGATGCACCATGCATCACGATCTCGACACATTTCTACTGAGTTACTCCCCATTTATTCCTTACAGCCACCAATCAAACGGCTACTTTTTTTTGCCGGTTCTCAAACTCTATAAACACAACTCTTAAACATCAATTTATACCCCACCGACATCTTCTTCTTTCTTCTTTCTAAAAATGTCTTCATCTACTAAAATTTTTGATCGGTGATAGAAACACCATGGAGGTTATTCAATTCGTTGAAGTCAAGATAAAAGAACTACGCCAGAGGGATGTCTAAAATGCGAGGCAGAGAAAAAGAAGATACATACAAAGAAATCGTGAAGCTGCCCACCAACACCCCATCAATGATTATTTTGACGAGTATGCGATTTTTCAAGGCTACTATTTTCGATGACAGTTCCTTATGCACAAAGATTTGTTTTAGCATATAGTCAACAACGCCACATAAGTGTGTCATTATTTCCAACAACGTGCAGATGCAAGGGGTACAGTCGGCTTCAGTCCTTTACAAAATGCACAACCGCACTTCGTATGCTAAGCATATGCCACTTCCCACGATGTACTAGATGAGAATCCAAGGATATCCGTACGTACCGCACAAGAAAGCGTTCACAAATTTTGCAAGTATGTCATGAAATTGTATAGCCCACGATATTTCTTTAAACTACATGTAGTGGCATCAAATAATTATATGGTTATCATGGAAATGTGCATTGCTTTCCTGGGATGTTAGGAAGCTTAGATTGCCTCCACTCGGAATAGGGAAATTACCCAAATGCATATCTTGGTCAATAAACATGAGGTGATCATGGCTACATAACGATCATACTTGAACATATGGCCTCACATGACTTATGGATATGTCATGCCTTTTTTGGTGTTACAGGTAGCCTGAATGTTCTTAACATGTCTCCGTTATTATATTTCACATGAATGTTGGTGTTGCATGCACCCTGGACATGACATAAATGTTTTTAAAATGTCTCCGTTATTCGATGGTATGTATAACAACACTACACCAGATTCTTTGTTTCTAGTGCATGGAACATCTTACATATACGGGTATTATCTTGTGGACGAGATTGCTGGAAATATGTGTCCAATGTCATAACTAAATTACTATAACTTTGGGAATAATAAAAAAGTCATTTTTGGGTTGCCCTCAAGAGCTAAAATAGTTAGAAATGATTTAGGAGATTGAGATAATTAGTTAATTGATTTATTACAGGTTAATAAATTAATTGGAGTTACTCTGTAACATCCGTATCCTCAAGTATAATTCTTTAAGGTTTAATTTGTCATTTGTTGCATATTTATGTTCTACGCAGAGTGTAGGATAGTGCCCTACGTTCAGCGTAGGAGGAATAACTCATTTGGGGGTTTAATAACCTACGCCGAGTGTAGGTTGAGCTATACTGAGTGTAGGTGCACCACACTAAAACCCTAATTCTTGGGTTTGAGAGCCCTATTTAAAGGCTCTAACTCCTTGAGGGCCTCTTCAAGCTCAGCCTCCACTCTCTTAATCAGTCATCTCGAAACCCTAGCTGCCTTGTGAGAGTTTTGAGGCATTAGAGTATTCTTGTGTGCATCTTTGAAGGAGGATTTCTATGGGGAAGCACTTGGGGAGCTCCAAGCTTTGTAGATCCAGATTTTGCATCTCATAATCCAACTCTAGAAGGTATAAAGCTTCCATCTTGATGATTACTCTTGTTAAATCTAGTTGGTCATGATTTGTTATGCTTTTGTCCACATAACCTTGGTCTTTGTGAGTAGGAGCTACTCTAGACCATTTGAGTTTCATTTCTAGATGTTTTTGGGCTTGTAAAGCCATAAAAAGGACATCTTGGCCACTCTCATCCATCCATGCATGGTTCTTGAGCAAAAGGTGGTATTATGGACTCAACGCTTGGATTTGTGCTCATTTTAGCCATGCAAAGGGATAAATCCAGAGACTTTACCTATTAAAACATGATTTGGATCCATATATAAGAGTTGGGAGGTCAGGCTTGATGTATTAAGAGCTTAATAGAAAGTTGGTGCATCAGCGGAGCTACGCTAAGCGTAGCATGAATTTTTCCCTATTTTCCATTTGATGCTCTACGCTGAGCGTAAAGCATTATGCTACGCTGAGTGTAACACTAGGCAATTGACTTTTTTGACCAGTTTGACTTTTGGTCAACTGTGTTGGGTGTTAATCTTCGAAGCTCTAAGCGGTCTTTTGTCCCAAGGAGGATTAGCTATGAACTAAGACCCTTTGAATGTTGGTTATTACCTTAATTGTTGATTAGGGTTTTATTGTGTATATTTTTAGTGTAAGGAATTCTAGTATGAGCAGTTCGCGTGTGTGATTGTCTTGTCTTCACATTGAGGTGAGTATTCTCATTATACTAGGTAGGTTGCTCTATTGTCTTTGTGACTATTGTATGAAAGACTGAGGTTGGATCACAACACCTATATGAAAGACTATGGTTGGATCACAACACATGTACAAAAGACCGTGGTTGGATCACAACAGTTGTATGAAAGACTGTGGTTGGATCACAAAACTTGTATGAAAGACTGTGGTTGGATCACAACACTTGTTTTCCTTTGTGACTTGCATGGAAGACCATGGTTGGATCATGGCAGAAAGATTATGGTTGGGCTGTAATCTGGAAATGACCGTATGAATATGGTTGGATCATAACATTCACATGGGGTTGAAATACACCCTAGCGCTGGGCCAACTGATATGTATGGTGTGTGGTATTATGGGGAACTCATTTAGCTTTGTGCTTACAGTTTTATGGTTTAAATATTTTCAGGTACTACTAGTTCCAAAGGGAAGGGCCCGACTTTATGACACATCATCCCCTAATGATTTTTCTGTATTGATTATTATCATTTTACTTTGATGTCTGAGATACATTTTACTATGGTTGATTTTAGAATGAATGAATGAATGGACTGATAATCTGAAAATGAAATTTATATTGGTATTTTTGGGATGTTACAAGTTGGTATCAAAGCCTTGGTTTGAGGGATTCAGGCACACTCTCGGGTGTGCCTGAACTTAAACTAATGAATTGATAATATTTTTGAAAGAAAATAAATTTTCTAAAAAGGTTTTTACAAAGAAAGGGTTGCGATGCGTGAAATCAGCCGAACTCAAGTAAGTGATTTCTAAAATACCCATACTTGAGTATTATGTATTTATGTGAATTGCATGCTATAATAGGGCTAAGTACACCTTCAGGAATTGCCTGATATGTGTTATGCCTTGTAGCCTAAGAGGAATTGGATGTTTTTGCATTACTTGGAATCTATATTGGAGAAGTTAACTGCTAAGTGCATGTTTCAAAATTATATACGATTAGGATCAGATTGTATATAATTTGCATTCATAAGGAAACCAGCGGTGTTGGTAGAGGTTCTTTGTATTTCAGAAGCAAGTGGGATGGGGATTCCTAGGAGAGCCCATGGAGAACTGTATATATATATATATATGTTGTTTAGAATAGGGCTTATGAGAGTTGCCATAGTAAAGTTACTTAGAGCATTCATGACGATTCTTGAGGAAAATACGGATAGGTATGGAAGGTACTATTGGGCCCGTACTACTCAAAGCATAGGATCCGACCTTAAATCAAGGAAAATTACGAAGATCCTAAGGAGCTTGTAGTGTGAGAGTGATGTGTTTTATAGGTTACAAAAACTATGTGTTTGCGGAATTTCACTTAACACTTAAGGGAAATGCAACCTAAAGGATCTATGTCATAAAACTTTGAATGTAACATACTATGAACAACAAAACTATCATGAACCCTAATTGAATTTTTTTAGGGTTACATACCTTTGATTTGTTGTAGTAAACAAATCACTTCAATCCTTTGTAGTTGTTGGAGTTGGAAAGCTTAGCACCAAAAGGATGATGCCTCTAATGGCTCACACCAA